GTTTGCGAGCTGATTATCAATATTCTAGTCTTGGTCTTAACTTGTCTTTGATCTTCTTGCATGGCAAAAAGTGAAAGTAAAACTTATCCTCGTCCTCAGGGATTTTGTTCCTTACCGTAGTTCTTGTTATCTTTGTTTGACAGGGAGGATATGTTGATGATTTCCTATCACATGTAATGTGTTGCTGCTGTGCACTTGTCCAAGAATGGCGAGAAGTGGAAATTCGTGGAGTTTATGGTATGTTGAATTCCTAGCTTAGATAAGTCTTCAAAAATGTCATGATCCCCTTGTAAGCAATGCTGATAGTTAATAATACAGCAGTGATGCTCAAGATGTTATTAGTTCAAGAATGGCCAATAATGTTGTATAGTCAAAGGATTTTTCTGAAAAAACATTGTATGGTTGAAGGATTTTCTTGCTCTCCTGCTGTTATGTTAGTTTTTGTTCAATATGTTTTATTCTTTCTCTTGAGTTTGTTTGACATAAGACTACTTTGCAGGTCCTGAGAAGACAAAAACAAGCCCTCCACCCTCACAATTCATGGAAGCTTAAGTGATTGGATATAAGCTTTTGTGATTGATATACGTCATAGGTAATGGCTGGTTGCCAGAGTTAAATGAAACCTGTACTGGGATTTCTTCCTTGCCGTGATTTCACCATATGTAAAGCTAGTTTTATATTGGTGTCTAGATTCGTCACATGGTGTATCATAAACTATATTGATATATATTTTTTCTAAATGTTTACTCCGGTGTCCTATAATTTCTCTGTAAATGGATTGCCTGAAGTATCCTATTGTGTAACGGAGGCATGAGTAGGGTGTGGGTACTGCATTATAGACGGAAAGATTACTGCTGCTGCTTATACTTCCCGAGTATCTTGACTGATTTACAGGATTTCATTTGTACAAAATGTTTATGGTGATCCCTAGTCAGTCTAACAGCTATAGACTCCATGGATGTAGATTATGAATGATAGTATTTCGAATTGCAAAGTGGTGCATCAACATGCTTATGTCCCACTGTATTTAGAATTTTAGAATTGTTGAATTTCCATCGTAGTCCTAAGTCAAACTTATTATTCGTTTGCGCAATGTTTGGAATGAATGAATTTGATTAACAAATATGAAGCAATTTGCATATTTTTATGTTTTGAATATAAATAAAAATGTGAAGTTTTCAAAGAAATAAGAGGCTATCTAATTCTGTGGATGCATTTGTCCCATAAGTAGCCTTAAAAAGTAGTGCTACAGCCTGCTCAGCATATTTCATTCTGTTGGATGCCGGATGTTGTGTCCCCTTCAAGTCCAGCTTTCATCTTTTTCAACGTCCTTCCCTGGAGTGAGGTTAAAGAAAACATGGTTCGGTTCTTCGAGTGGGAAAATCCTTATTGCTCGGGCAATAAAAATTTACGTCAAGTTCCAAAGAAAATGTTCTTAAAGAAAAAAAAAGAACGCAATTTATTAAAGGAGCATTGCTGCATATGGGGAATTTGAGTTGTTGGTGAACAATTTTGCTTTTGTTGGGAAGACATATATCTAGGGAGAAAGTTGGAGACAAACCATTTTGACTCACTCACTTTTCATTATGTTGTGACCATGACCACATTTCACTAGATATTGATAATG